AGAACCACAGGGTGATCAGGGGGTTTGGGCATTCACCCCTGTCACGCTGATCCGGTGCCAGGAGGCCTCGCGGCTCCGCTGATCCCGGTGCTGGGAGGCATATTACCCTTTTACTACATAGCATAGAGGCCTGGGGGCTGGCTGGTTTTCCCTGAAGGGTGTCCTGGATCAGGGTGGGGGTCCCCACTGGGGTGCCTGGCCAGTCTGGGTGAGGGGCTGAGGGCTGCTTTCAGGCTTATGTTTTGATTGAAGCTCCCAACCGCTCCTTTTTTTCTTTTTTTTTTTCTTCTGGGCCAGCTTTAGCTCTGGCTCTAGCTCTGAGGCTTCCGCTGCTGGTTTGTTTGCCGTTCTGTAATCGAAACAATGTATAACTTCAGCTCTGAGATCCCAGCCGGCTATATTTGTTAGAATGTTTCAAACTGCCAGCTCAGAGGCCGGCAAGGCAGGCGGGGAACGTTGGAGTTCGCAGTCACTGGAGCAAGCAAGCCTCATGTTCGCTTCCAGCTGCCTGGCTGCCGGCCGCCATCTTGGCTGACAGTTAATTTGCATAAGGATATGCTGATTAGCCAATGGGAAGGGTAGCGGTCGTACGCCAATTACCATGTTTCTCTTTTATTAGTGTAGATTAAGACTAAAATGAAAATCCTTATGTTTATGAACTAGTTGTATATTTATATATCTCTGCTAAATGCTTACATGTAAAGGAGTATTGACAAATTCTTTATCACAAATTATTACATCTTTAGTGAACCAAATAAGAAAATTACAATTTAGACTTTTTTCTGTAAAATAAGTCAGTTATTCTGTACCATAGACATTTTATTTTATTGTCCCAATATTCCATTAGCCCTCATTATTTCTGGCATACATTTAAATCTTTTTGTTGTTAATCCTCACCTGAGGATATTTTCTTCCATGATTTTTAGAGAGAGTGGACGGGAGAGAAACAGAGAGACAGAGAGAGGAACATCAGTGTGAGAGAGACACATCCATTGGTTGTGCCCCCTCAGGCACCCTGACCACCAGGGCCAGGTATGGAACCTGCAACCAAGGTTAAGTGCTCTTGACCAACATTCAAACTCACGACCCTATGGTCCATGGGCCAATAATTTAACCACTTAGAAACAACGGCCAGGGTCATTTAACTCATTTTAACAATTATTGTTTGTGTTTGTGATGTGCTTTTAAAATACTGCCTGAAAAAAAATTCCTGTAACTAGCTCTTGTCTCTGATTCTTTCATCTTACATTTATAACTTTTCTCCCTAAAAGACTTGACTTTGTCTTTCCCAAATTTAGGCCCCAAATTCAGAAAAATGAAACAATATGGACAATACAGTTGATTTACAGATGGGATAGAATAACTCTATCTTTATCTCTGGGCCTCCGGGATGACATTATTGACTCTTGGGCAAGAAGAGAACAGTTTTATGATCAATTGGTTAAAAGATAAAACTCCCCTGCCAATCCCTTCGATCCCAGATCAGGTGTTTTTGTTTTTGTTTTTTGTGGTTTATACTTATTTTCTCTTCCTTCCTTCCTCCTTTTTTTCCTCCCTCCCTCCCTCCCTCCCTCCCTCCCTCCTTCCCTCCTTCCCTCCTTTCCTCCCTTCCTTTTTTATTTAAATTCTTTATTGTTTGAAGTATTACATATGTCTCCTTTTTCCTCTATTCATCTCTCCCTGGCTACTCCCACCCCCCAGCACATGCCCTCACCCTCCTACTATCTGTGTCCATTGGTTATGCTTATATGTATGCATGCAAGTCCTTTGGTTGATCTCTCCCCCTGACCCTCCCTTGCCTTCCCTCTGAAGTTTGATGGTCTGTTTGATGCTTCTATGTCTCTGGATTTATTTTTGATCATCAGTTTATGTTGTTCGGCTCAGTTTTTTAACTGATGGTGTACAATTGGCTAAAGCAGTTAAGTTAGCTGGACTTGACTATGTGGCCAGAGTCATCAAAGTCTATGCTGGGAACTTCAGGTTTGTGTTCTAGCCCGAGCTAAGATGCCGCACACCAATCTTGGTGGTTCAATCAGGAGACATGGCATGTTGTGTGCGTAAATATGGGTCCTGAGTTGCCTGAGCCTGGGAGGTCATCCCTCCAACCTGTCATGTTTGCCTGCATGCCTTGCTGCACTCTACCCTTTATCTCTAAATCAAAGCATTACCTAATATAGAGTCTCATGAGGCTTTCAAATGTCACAACTTGGGAAATCTTTTTACTTAAGATGTCTTTTAATGACTGAACTATCATTGAATTACTAGAAAGACCACTAGGTACTACTAAGATTTATTTTTAAAGTAAATAAAAATAATCAGGTTTGCTTGGATTCTCCAGATTTGTATTAATTTGAAATGATTATACAAACTATTTTTGTTCACCAAGCTTAGGAGGAAAGGGGTGGGAGAAGCCTGATAAATGAAAATTAAAGTGTATCTTCCAAGGCAAAATATATTAATATGAATACATATAAACAATGATGTACTTTTCAGGTTAAAAGAAACATACCCATGTTTAACAGACAACTCTCAGAGTGAAGGCTGGGGTGGCAGGATGGTTGGGGAGAGATTAGCCAAAGAACTTATATGCATATATGCATAACCCAAGGGCACAGACAATAGTGTTGTGAAGGCCTGGGGAGGGGCAGGTGAAAGATGAAGGGGTTAATGGAGGGAAAAACAGGGACACCGGTAATACTTTGAACAATAAAGAGAAATTAAAAAGGAAAAAGAAGCATACCCATGTTTAAATAAAGGACTGGTGAAATAATTGTGTATTAAAAGAATTTTTTCCTCCCAGGATTGGAAACAATTATAATACATTTTATGAGATAAATTAAAGGCCATGAGACAGGTTATTGCCATCATTGCTTCTCCTTCACATATCACTATCCATAATTGTGACATTTTGAACCCACCAACTGTCCTTCCCTACCTTGATTATTTAACCTCTGTGAAAAAATTGTCTATGTCTGTCCACATCTTTGAATATTTCCTTTGTAGAGCATGGGTTAATCTCAGCAGGTTTGAAATGACAAAATACTTATTTCCAAAACAGCACACAGCATAACTGAACTTTGACATTAGTACAGAACATATTAAGTTCTGTAACCATAGGGCAGTGAGTTGTTTGGGGCAGATGTACCAGCAATGTTCAGTATTAGTCATTGGATTCATAACTTGCACCTGGTTTGGGGAGGGTTGAGAGTTTAGGCTTTCAATAATCAAACACTGTCTCAAACTTAGTAACGCACCTTTTAATAAGTTTAATTTAATTTTCTTCATTAATAGTTCACACTTAAACACAAAAACTAAAGCTTGTCAAGCAAGTTATGCTACCACAGATTCTACACTTGATCTTAGCCAAAAGGCCGAGAAGCGATGTGCTACCACAGATTCAAATTCACTCTTGGCATATGAATCTTTTCCAAAAGTAAATTCACCTTAAATCTGGGCTAGCCTGCAAATAGCATGAAATAAAACAGCAAATGTTGATTCAATCAGTGTTTTCTGGTAAACATTGATCATTCTTTGCCTATTTGTAGGGTAAATAATACTTTTTCTTGAATGACCATCTTTTTATGTTTTAATTAAATCTTTATTGTTCAGATTATTACAGTTCCTCTTTTTTCCCCCATAGCTCCCCTCCACCTGTGTCCCCCCTCACCCTTCACCCTCATCCCCCCCACCGTCCTCATCCATAGGTGCACAATTTTTGTTCAGTCTCTTCCTGCATCCCCCACACCCCTTTCCCCCCCAAGAATAGGCAATCCACTCCCTTTCTATGTCCCTGATTCTATTATAATCACCAGTTCATTCTATTCATCAGATTATTTATTCACTTGATTTTTAAATTTACTTGTTGATAAATGTGTATGTGTTGTTCATAGTTTGTATTTTTACCATTTTCTTCTTCTTCCTCTTCTTAAAGGATACCTTTCAGCATTTCATATGATACTGGTTTGGTGGTGATGAACTCCTTTAGCTTTTTCTTATCTGTGAAGCTCTTTATCTGACCTTCAATTCTGAATGATAGCTTTGCTGGATAAAGTAATCTTGGTTGTAGGTTCTTGCTATTCATCACTTTGAATATTTCTTGCCACTCCCTTCTGGCCTGCAAAGTTTCTATTGAGAATCAGCTGACAGTTGTATGAGTACTCCCTTGTAGGTAACTGACTTTCTTTCTCTTGGTGCTTTTAAGATTCTCTCTTTGTCTTTTGCTCTTGGCATTTTAATTATGATGTGTCTTGGTGTGGTCCTCTTTGGATTCCTTTTGTTTGGGGTCCTCTGCACTTCCTGGACTTGGAAGTCTATTTCTTTCACCAGGTAGGGGAAGTTTTCTGTCATTATTTCTTCAAATAGGTTTTCAATATCTTGCTCTCTCTCTTCTTCTGGCACCCCTATAATTCAGATGTTGGTACACTTGAAGCTGTCCCAGAGGCTCCTTACAGTATCTTCGTATTTTTGGATTCTTTTTTCATTTTGCTTTTCCGGTTGGGTGTTTTTTGCTTCTTCATATTCCAAATATTTGACTTGATTCTTGCGATACTCTAGTCTGCTGTTGGGGTTCTTATAATATTCTTTATTTCAGTCAGTGTATGCTTAATTTCTAGTTGGTCCTTTATCACAACCTCGAGGGTCTCATTAGATTTCTTGAGGGTCTCATTAAGTTTATGGGCGGGGCGGAGTCCCAGGGGATCAACAGAGTAGTGCGAGCAGTTAGGGCTGCTCTCAGTCCTGCCCTCAGATGCCCTGCTTCTCAGTGTTCTGGAAATCGCTGCAAGCACCCCCAAGAGAAAGCTGCCCTCGAATTCTGATCTATGCCAGACAGCTCAGTTTCTCCCGTATGAGTCTGGGTCCCCAGAGACTCGCCCAGAACTGGAGCTCAGAGCTTGAGACTCCCTCCGATTGAAAAAGACAACTGTGCCCTCAGCCGCCAACCCTCTCCGCATGCGCCTCTGTACCTCTGTATTTTACTTCTGCACCACACCTCCTCTGAGTCTCGGTATGCTTTTCTCTTTCCTTCTAGTTGTAGAATTTCCACTCGGTATGCTTTTCTCTTTCCTTCTAGTTGTAGAATTTCCACTCAGCCAGCCTTCCTGTGGTTCTGGATGATGTCTGTTCCATCTTTTAGTTGTAGTTTTGAAGTGGTTGTGCGAGGCAGCTATCTCCGGTGTTTACCTATGCCACCATCTTGGTTTCTTGAATGACTGTCTTTTAAAAACTTTGAAAACTATTGCCTTTTACCCCAATACTACTATCGTCATCCTTGCTCTTCTGAAAAATGTAGAAAACAAATTCTAAAACTAAAAACTATTGAAGTTCTCAAAGACTTAAATTTCCACATCTCAAGGTATTCCCATTAGCTTTAATGACGTCAGCACTCCCATTATGAGTCAATGTCAGATTACCCTGTGCATTTAGGAATGTCCTCTCTAGTCATAGTCTTTGTGAAACTGCATGTTGATGTGACTAAATACTACTAATCTCATCATTGTACAGGTAAGGTACAAGTGTGCTTTCAACTTAACCACATACACAGTCTGAATGACCTGAGAATCTGGAGGTCAGATTCAAAACACAATACAAAAAAATGAACGTTACAAAATTTAAAAATTTCTGCTCCATAAAAGACATAATTAAGAGATTGAAAAAAGCAAACTACAGACTGGGGGAAAAATTGCAAACCACATGTACAGTAAATACCATGTATGAAAAATGTACCAAGAAATCTCCAAACGCAACACTAAGACAAACAAAAAATTAAAAAATAGGCAAAAGACTAGAAAAGGCACTTAGCAAGAAGAAATGAAGTTGTCAAGTAAGTACATGGAAAAATGTTCAACATCATTATCCACATGGGAATTGAAAATTAAAATAAGCAGGGGATACCATGACAAATCTATCGAAGGACAAGAGTAAAAAAATACAAACAACAGCAAATTGTGTCAAGGATGGAGAACAACTGTAACTCATATGCATTGTTGGTGGGGATGCAAAATGTTCCAACCATTGAGAAAAGCAGTTTGGCAGCTTCCTACATAGTCAAACACACCACATGATTCAACCATCTCACTGCTGGAGAAATGAAAACTAATGTTCATACAAACACCTGTATGCAAATGTTTATAGCAGTTCTATCCACAATCACCAAAAATTGAAAACCAACTAAAGGTCCTTCAAATAGACAAACTGTGGTACAAATATATAATGGAACAAGAGGCCCAGTGCACGAAATTCGTGCACTGGTAGGGTCCCTAGTGGCTGCCGGCTGCTGGCCTGTACTCCCTCTCTTTCCCCAGCCGCCTATAGCTGCTGCCACTGCTGCCAACCAGAGTCTCCCTCCCTTCCCCAAGTTGCCTGCTGCCACCACTGCTGCCAGCTGGGGCCTCCCTCCCTTCCCCCGGCTGGCCCAGCCCCCTGGTCGAACTCCCAGTTGAGGGGACAATTTGCATACTGTGCTTTTATTATACAGGAGACTATGCAACAATAAAAACTAAAGAAGCTATTGATACAAGCCACAACCTGGTTGGATCTCAAACAGATTATACTCACTGAAAGAAGGCAATTTCAAAAGACTATATATACTGTATGATTCCATTCATATGATATTCTCAAAAGATAAAACAATAGGAATGAACAAGAGCAAGTGACTTCTCCAGGGGGTGCAGGTGGTGGAGGGGACGATTATAAAGAAATAACATGAAGGCATTCTCTGGGTTATAGAAGGTTTCAGTATCCTACATGTGATGGTTGTTATATAAATCTACACATGTGCTAAAATTCATAGAGCTAGAAAGTCAATAATAAAGAGACATTCTAGCCGAAACTGGTTTGGCTCAGTGGATAGAGCATCGGCCTGCGGACTAGACGGTCCCAGGTTCGATTCCGGTCAGGGGCATGTACCTGGGTTGCGGGCACATCCCCAGTAGGAGATGTGCAGGAGGCAGCTGATCAATATTTCTCTCTCATCGATGTTTCTGGCTCTCAATCTCTCTCCCTTCCTCTCTGTAAAAAATCAATAAAATATTTTTTTTTTAAAAAAAAAAGAGACATTCTAGCTAACACCTTAGCACACAAAGGTGGCAATTAGTGATGGACTGATTTGACAACTGATATAGAGGACCATTACTGCCCACATTCCACACTGCCCCATGCTGG